TATATTGCCAAAAAGACCTTTTTCCTTTGATTTCAAAGACTCTGCTAACAGTAGCAGTGAGAGGTTGATGTTCCATTTGCCTAGGTTTGGATCGGGATTTCTTCACCTTTGTTAGAACTTCTTGTTTCTTGTCTGAGAGGTGATGGAGGTTCTTGCCAGTCATAGAAGGGCTTTACCTGAGATGCTTCCCTGCTTAAATTGCTTGTTCATCCACCAGTCAGTCTCTCCTGCTGGTTTCACTCATTCTGGATCACTAATAAAGTCTGTTGCCTTTCAGTGAGTAGGACTTACCACAGCAGTGTTCTGCGAAGAGTGATGTGACTAACCTGGCTCGTGACTGGTTATTTTAAGTACATTTTTCTTGTGCTCCAGACTTTCTGTGACCAAAATTTTTTTGATTCACTAGGTAGCCAGCATGTTACTGCATGTCTTTGTGATGGTTCTATTTCTTATGGAAGATTCTGTTAGAAGTGAGGGAGCATTACAGGCCATGGTGGCTGATTTCCCTTCCTTTTAAATGCCTTTTTTTTTTTCAGAGGAGACATGCTGTACATCCGAAACATCTCTTCAAAATTCCCATCAGCCAGATTTGTCAGAGCCAGATTTATCAGTGCCTTTCTATCTTTCTTTGTGGTACCTTGAGCCTTGTGTATTAGGGATTGAATTATACTTCATGCCCCTGGGATGAATAAGCCCTCTGTTTATATTCATGGGGCCAGATATTTCAAATGATCCTGTGTCAGTGGATGTTTCCTCTGGCTTTCCAGCTGACTCTGTGTGAAGGCTATGCAGAGATGCTGGAAGGGGCAGCTGTCCATGCTAGGCTGTGTTCCAGGACCACTGAGCTGCAGCAGCCCTCTGTCACCCGAGCTCAGAGCACCCAGGGCTTTGCTGAGAAATGCACCTGTGTGTGAACTGATCAGGCAGCTATCTGGGTTTCCATCTTTGTCTCCTTCAAGCATTTCACTGATGCAGAGGCATCTGGAAACAGATAAATATTTGAAGAAAGTCTTCATTGAAAGCATGGTTTATCACTAGAACAGGCTCTCCACAGCACCAAACCTGTCAGTTCAAGGAGCGTTTGCAGGAGACTCTTTGTTCTGTGATTTATCATCATGGCTGGGCTTCGTGAACGAAGATTTGGGAAGGGCTCTACCCACATTTGTTACAAGTGCGCTGGTGATTTAGTGTTAGGTGATCCTGCAAGGAGCAGGGAGTTGAACTTAATGATCCTTATAGGTCCCTTTCAACTTGAGATGTTCTCTGATTCTGTAAGAGCTTTGTTAAGCAGTCCTCAAATTGCTGCTTCAGGAAGGTTTCTAAATGCATCCGGGCAGCTGTATGCTCACTCTGTGAGTGCATGTGCAGTGCAGAGTAAAGGTTACCTTCAAGTAAGTAAACTGAAGGGTTTTTTTAAAGCATTCCATACATACCTGCAGTTCTTATTCCTTCTCTCTGTCTCATGATCCTTCCAGTATATAGCATTATGCCTAGAGTTGGTAGTTGAAAGATAACACTAGGTATGCCTTGACTCATGTTTTCATTACCCTCCTGTGTTGTCTATCCATTGTGGACATTGAGGCTCAAAAAAGATGAGTCTGGCCAAGAGTTGTAGAATATATATATGCCTATAGTATCGAATATACCTGCAGATCACACCTTGAACAGCTGATATCTCTGTTCAGTGACTTCATCATGTCTGTCCTTCCTGTGTGCTGCAGGAGCTTCTTGATGACAATCCAGCCTGGGCACCACAGCGGAAAACAAGTAACTGGATACTGTTTGAAACTGACTTAATCCAGCCTGGTTGGACTGTCACTGCAAAGTACCGTCCTTCCACGGTCCCTTCCTGCCCCATCTCCCCCCTTTCCATCATTTGTTCCTTCCTCTCCCTAGTATATGCTTCTGTGCTTTGGTGGCTTTGCAGTTAGCTGGATTAGCTCACTGATTTTCTTAAAAACTAACCCTGAAGAAAGAAATTCATGAGTGTCCTAGACAGCAGAATGGGAAGTGAAAGAATACGCAGTGTAGGAATGGGCACAGTTATTGATTGCACCTTTTTAAAACACATATTATTATAAGGTATTCTTCCTTGTTTAAGATTGCTAGGTATTGCCATGAAATCTGCACATCCATGTGTTCAAATTTCTTGGGCTGTAGATCTGCTTTGCAAATGAAATTAAGTGAATGAGAACTTCAGCAAGCAAGCAAGAACTTCTGTGAGTTATCCAAGGGTGAAAGAGAACATTGGAAAGCCTTAAAGTGAGCTTTTCACATGGATGAACAAACAAGTGAACTTCTCTGGAAACTGCAGAATTTGCAGTGATCCAGCCTGTCTCCTCACCCACAAATTCTGCCTTCAGTGTGCAGCCCCATATGTGATTTATTTTTGATTGACATAACAATACAAGAGCCAAATGAATTAAAACTGAAGCTACATTCTGAACTTTGATGTTTCATCACGTGCCAGCAATCCGAAGTGCTTTGCCATGTTGTTCAAGAGAACACTATCATCAACAGTAATAATAATTTCAGAGTAATTAAACTAAACTATCTCTGTGCATCTAAATAAACAAATAGATTGTGGTTCTGTAGAATGTGCGTGTGTGCCAAGTGTGAGACTTTGCTAGTTGTCGAAATTGAGATGCTTTTAATGTAGAAGCATTCTGCTTCATTTAGTATCAGCTCCCAGTGTTTGCAGCAACTTCAGACTTGCAAGAGACTCTGGTACCCTGGTAGGGTATTTTTTACTCCAATGTCTTTTAGATGATTTCGTATAAATATAATTTGTGATTTACCTAGTATTTTTAACTGTATTACAGTCAGAGGTATTTAAAAGAAAAATTCTATTAGGTTGTCATTCATTGTCTTCAACCTGTTGTATCAGCTGAGTAACGTGTATACTGCTGACCAGTAAGAATTGTCATAAAATTCTGCATGTAAGAAATGTGTAGTTCAGAAGTGATGGACAATCTCTCTCACAAGCTGTCTTAATACTTATTTTTTTAAATAAACTGTTGGTGTGTTTCAAAATAGAAGCTGATTTTTTTATGACTTGGTTTTTAAAGTGGATGCAAATGCAAGTTGTGCAGTGTGTCTAGAGGGAGGAGGTAAGTACTCAGTTACTTTAAAGGGTGAGAATTTTTGTGGTTGGGAGAATTTGTTTATGTGTGCCAGATGACTTGGGGTTGACAGAGGACCACAACTGCAGCTAGTCAGGCAAAACAGAATTCAAGTGTGAATATTCTAGGACCTCCTCTTTAGGCATAGAAAGCTAGTCAGTGCTCACCCTTGGCAGAAGTTTGCACATAAGCAAATATTAACACAGTGCAGTGAGTATTTGCAATGTTACAGCTCTCTCTGAGAAGGTGACAGCAGTGAAGAGCAATAGTGTGACAACCCTCTCTCTTCATCAGTTAGCCTCAAAGGACTTGGCAGAAAGGACTGGTTCTCCTAATTCTGCTTCTCAGATCTGGAAAGGAGGTCATGCTGTAATGGCTTGGACAGAAATGACTTATATACATCTTATGACAGACTGTCAGTGGAACCCTTTATCCTGTTGGAAAATACTGGTTCAAGGAAAGCAGAATGCTTTGCAGAAGCATGTTGCATGTGATGAAAATCTGGTTCATGTGAAAGTGGTTTTGAGAACATTTCAGTTTTATATTTCAATATTACTTTATTTCAGTTTTGGTATGAAATTTAATAAAGACAGGGACAAAATATTTTCTTTTCTTTTGTAGAATTTAATAAATCTGAAAGGTTTTAGGGCCTGGTTTCTTTGGTTTGGACTTCTTGAGAGTTGGGTTAATTATTTTTTTTAAGTTTCTCATAAACTCAAACTAAAATATTTTGATTTATTTTCCAAAGGAAAAACATTCACAGTTGTGAAATGAGCCTTAAAATAAACAAACAAATAAGTATACAGCTCTGCTGTTAAGTTCCAGTATCATGTTCACTGTTCCTCCCCTGTTTCTTTGCTGTGGGAAGACAATGATTCATATCAGCTGTATTTCTTGGGTTGCTATGTTTTTCCCAATGCAACTTTTGAATCAAAAAGGGTAGAACTGGGGCTCTACTGCCTTTGTCCTCTGAGACCCTGTATTGCCCCACTAAATACTCAAAGCGTTCATCAGGGAGGTAACAACTATTCTCCCCTCAGTGACTGGAGTGCAGATCTGCACGGGGCTAGGTGAGAATGAGAACAAATGTTACACAATCTTACAGCACAGACCAAAGCCTGTCCAAGTAGCTGTCGCCCTGTGCAGACTGCAAAGGGACCTAGAGGTAATTTCATCTCAGTGCAAAGTTATTCCTTGTTCAGCATAGACAAAAGTGCTTAGAATCGAACTGTGGGGATGCTGGTATCTGTTCGTGTTGCTTTAAAACAAGAGAGCCTTCCATACCCTGATTTCCTACTGGTAAAATGGATGATCAGTTTTGCAATAATTATTTTCAGGCAGTGCATCTATCTTACTCCCTATTTCTCTACATTTGTCTCTAAATGTGAATCATCAGCTTTTAGATGCTTTGTACTCTCTTAACTTGGTCCCTGACAACTGCTACTTTGAGAAAGGTCAGGGAAGGAAAACAGAACTTCACTTTTAACAGTGTGATTATTCTGTTTTTAAATAAATGTAATTTTTTGCAATATCTAATAAAAAAAAGACTGAACAAAGTGCATGAACTGCAAGATTTAAAAGTTCAAATGTGGTAGGAGAGGGCTTCTTGTAGGGAGTTTGTGATTGCACTGGTGTTTGGAAGAAGTGCAGGTAGGCTTTTTTTCTCCACAGTTAATAGTATCTATAAAGAAAATAAAAATTGTTGCAAAACATAAACATAGGTCTTTTGGTAAGGTAATGTGTTCTGCTTATAGATGGATTTTTTGCATTGGGACAGATGTGCAGAGAGCAGAGGGATGCACATCTTTGGAGTGCCAGAATTTATTTCTCCTCATCCAGATTTTGCATTTTTATTTTTCATTTTCATTTACTTTCCAGATAAATCTGGTGTCTTAATTGTGAAGATCTTAGAAATATTTGAGGAGTGTACAATACAAGTTGCCATCTGCCAGCAGCTGGAACAGTCTCCTGCTACGCTTTCACCCGAGGATGCTGTCATCAATGCAGAAGAACCAATACTCAAAGTCCTCTTTACAAGAGAGACAGCAGCTCACCTCAAGAGCAGACCACAGGATGTCATTCACATCTATCCCCCATGGTGAGTAGGAAGAAAGGGCTACACTTGCTGTAGCACTGCAGAACAAAGTGAAGTGGATAGAATTCTGGCTGCATTGTTGCAAGAAAGACCTTAGGGGGTGAGGGGGAAGTATGGCTCCCTTGTGGTCATCTGTCTTTGGCAACTAGAGGGATTTGACAGATATCTTAAAGATAGCTCAGATAACTAAGCCTCTAGTGTTGCTCAGGGCTTCAGTTGTGTTTTCACTAATATTTTCGTGTTTAGAGCTCTAGGAAGGCCTGAGCAATGTCTTATCAATGATAAGGCCAATAAAGTGCATACTTTCTGGAAGCAAAGTAGTTCAGGAATGCTCATCTGTTGCTGTGAGTATGGGTATAATATTTCAGGGGAAAAGTCTGTATTAACTCTATAGCATTCGGTTCAGTTTTCAGTTCCCTGAATCCTTCTTCAGTGCAACCCTTTCTGGAATTCTTCAAAATGTTTGGTTTACATTTGTGATTATTTTCTGAATTGGTTTACTTACCTGAATTTTAAGGGGTAGCAAAAAGTGATGAGATTTCTAGTAAAGCAACTAGGTCAAGGGAACTTTGAAGTGGGATTATTGCTTCTCTTTTCACTCTTCTCCACTCAAATGATAAAAGAGGAAATATTTTTCTTATGTATTTCAGCATTCATTACCTGAGTTCAGCTACCTCTAGTGTTTGACCATATCCTTTTGCAAAATACTTTTTCCTGTTTTGCAAAAGCCTGTATCTGGTTTTTGTCCTCATTGATAGCTGCAAATCTTTTTTGAGTTCCCCAATTTGTAATCTTTTGCTTCTAAAATGTTGTTTAACTCTTTTTGGATGCAATTCAAAAATTAAGGGAAGATACTAAATTTGTGGTTTATAATGGCTACAGATACAACTATTGATAGTTTAGATGTAAATAGATCAGTAGTGAAGGGAAATACAGCTTAATTCCTAGTCTGATATGATTATAAGTCACTGCTGGGTTTTTTCCTTCCTCCCACCTTAAGGCGTTTAGTTCTAATTTACCTTTTTCTACAACAGGCTTCTTTTTATGCTTTACATTTGCTTTTGTTTGCCTCTGTTTTCTTCTTTTTTCTTGCTCTTACAAGCTTCTTAGTTCTGTTTTTCTCTTCAGGTTTCCTCTGATGTTTTTAAACCTCAAGTCATTGTATTTATGCTGCTTTGTCCTTCTATGTAGACCTTAAGCTACACAAAGATTTTTGTACCAGAAAAAGTGTTTTAGTTAGAGTATGATTCAACTTCTTGTTTTCCTCCTTTTTTCTTTTCCTGAACAGTTACTGTAGTATACTTACCATGTGTAAGTCTCAGACTGCTCCAGCTCGTTTCACGTCTGCTCTGGGAAGATGTAAATCTGCACTGATACAATTCTTTCCAGACTACAAACATCTGCAACTGTACTTGTGTAGTCTTCTCATTGTTTAAATTCAAAGATGTTCTGGACATAAAATTAATTCCTATATGTATGTAAACTGAGATTTCTTGAGAAAATTTCATAGTCGTCTGTCTTTCCAGAAATACCACCTTTTATTTACTTTTTAATTTTTTTTTTAATTATTATTATTATTATTTTAGGGGGATCTGCTTTTCATGTACGCAAAGAGTTATTTCATGAAACCAGAATATTTGGACAGGGGATACATCAGAGTTGCTCTCCTTACCTATATGACTCTCAAGGCACTTTTATAAAGACATCAGTTAGTAGTGGAAAAACTGCATTATACCTCATCTTTAGTCCTATTTTCTATAATTTTGTAATTATCTTAATGTCAGTTGTCTCTTTTTTACTCAACCAGAATTCAAAAGTTGGGCTGGATACTGTTAAACTAAATCTACTGGAGGCGGAGAGGGGAGAGGGGGAGGGATGTTTTTGTTTTAGATTATAATTTGGCCCTTTTAGTTTACATTAATTGGAAATTGGATTTGTACACTTAATGAAAGTTTCCTGTATCATGGTTCCAAGCTTCTATTCTCTTAAACTCTTAAGTAAGAACTCTGAAAGCTGAAATGTAGTTTCTGTTACTCTGCATTGAATTTGTACTTCTGTCGTTCAAAACAAATACTGTTCATGTTAAAATGCTTGTCTGTCAATTCAAATGTGTGACTAGTGTAAAAACAAATTAACTAAATCCAACCCTGGCATGTTGAAATAAGCATATTTATGTGTCTCATTGATATAACCAGTCAGAAGCAAAAGGGAACAAAAAAAAGTAAGTGCAAGGGGAGACAATATTTGAATGACCTGCATGGTTTTGGGACATAGAGCACACTGTGTGTCATTGTCCTGTATTTTGAGATACTTGTATGGTAAGATAGAATAGGATGAGATGGGGTGTTTTGCAAGTGGTCTGCTTCTGATCCTGTAAAGTAGTGTCCTGAGAGCAAAATTTCCCATTATCTTTAAAATAAAACCCCAGAATTACATTCTGACTTTGTTTTTTGCTCTATGACCAGGCAGCCAAGTGAGTAAAATGTGGACACACAGGCTGCTGGCTTCTGTATGTGACTGTTCGTGAGCAAACTTTGAATGCATTGTTTTGGAGCCTTTGTAAAATTAGACTTTGCTTTTGTAACTGTATTTGTATCTGCTGTGAACTCAGTGCACAGCTTGGTATGTGAAACATCTCTAGCAGTAGACTTACATAAGTACTTTAGGAAGCAGAGTTTAGAGATGTGTTGATATACTTGCTAGTATTTGTTTGTATATGGAGTCCCATGAAACTTCAGTACTACAAGCAGTACAATACAAGCAATTTAATTTAAAAAATAAAATATTGACAGGGAGCTGCTTAGAAGAGTCTTACTAACCTGGACATTTGCTCATGAGAGACATCCCACTGGCTTTTAGAGAATCTTTACGTCAGAGCAAGAATTTGCAGACTGAACCGAGATTTCTTTATAACTAGATATGAATTTCTTCAGATATAGTGTCTTAAGGCACGTATTTACAATCTTGAATGAAAGGTATTTGATGTGAGAGTTGTCATTTGCTATAGGGAAAACAAGTGCATTAGGGTGATTAATTCTTTCAAACCAGAGTGTGTGGTGGAGGACAGAGCTCAGCTGCCTGGCCACTGAGACATCTGATGGGAGCCTGCTCTGATCTTGAGGCTATATGGAAGTATTAGTGCAGTGTTGTATCTAAATAAGGTCTATTAACTTGGACACATCACATGAAGACGATTGTGTGGTTTGGGCTGGAGCTGGTTTGTGTCTGGCCAGCCAGGAACACAGCAGGCAAAAGAGCTCAGCCCTGCCTGCCCCTGCCTGTGTAGGCTTGCCTTGGGTTGTCTTTGCAGTACCTGAGCAATTCCTTGGATTAAGATTTTAAATGAACACCTCATAATTTTTTACAAACCAAATCTGAATCACTAAGTGTTTTTAACAGTTGGAAAAGAAAAAGTTTGTTACTGAGTTTAATTAAATTGATTACTAAGTCTTTATTCACTTTGCAAAAATACATATCCAGCAAAAAGTAAAGACTGTTACTGCAAAGACATGAGAGAATGGGAACAAAGGCTTCCACTGTTTTATTGGTGGTGATTTTATGGCTTCAATTTACCTGGGTTTTTTTGTTTGTTTAATTTTAAAAATTATAGAAATAATTTACCATACCTAACAGAAAGCGGTAAGAGTTGGCATCTTTAGAGACTTCAGGATTCATTTTACTGCTGACAGCAAGGCTTGGGGATAGACAGTTTCCTTTAGATACTCCTGCCTCCTGCTCATAGATATGCCTACTGTTGAATATTCAAGATAAATTAATGTGAAGAAAATGGTGCTGATTAGAATCCTTTTCCTTGCCATTAAATTTAACAACTTTGAAAAGTTTTTCATGTATTTCTGAAGTTAAACCACTAGATGTATGTGATATTAATAGAGTTCTTGGCCATAGCAGTATAAACCACAGATCACGTTTGATTTGGAGAGGCTCAGAGATTGATCCATACCTATTGAATGTGAATGTCTGCTATGAAGCCTTTAGTTCAGGAGGTTCGCATGGTGCTGATAACTGGAGGCTGAGATAGCATAAAGGGGACAGAACTGCTTTGTGTTCTGTTCTTACACTGCCTGTAAACACTGCAGAAGACAGGCTCCTTGGCTGGATAGCTGCTATTCCCTGTGCAACTTCTCCGAGACAGTTTATTTTAAGAACTCGGTATGGCAAGTATATAAAACACTTAAATCTGTGACATCAACAAGCAACTTCAAAGTTGTTCTTTAGTTTCTCTTAACCTGTGAAACCACAGGGAGTCATAATTACTCAGCTTTGAAAGTGTTCCAGTGCCTGGAGAAAGTGTTTAATGGAGACTTTTCATTTCTATTTGCATAGCGCTAAATTTGGTTTCTTCTCAGTGAGATTTAGAAGAGTTTGAATTATTTACTGCCAAGAAGAGCTCCTACAAAACATTGCTGCAGAGCAGCTGATGTACAGGAATTAAACCTTATATCCCAAGTCCTTTAATGTAGGCCCATGATGGAAGTTGCTGTAGAAACATTCAAGGAAACTCTGAGCAAATTCATGTACAAGAAGCAATCTGGCTTTGTGGATTTAGGTATTCTTCTACTTCAGAATTATCCTGGGTATGCTGTAGACTGTTTTGTTGACTCAACAGCAGGATTTATGATAAATGGATATATTACTGTGATTTTTGTGTTGTCTTAATTAATACACTGTCTTACATTGCATAGTCTTACATCATCCGTGTGAGCAACAACAGGACCAACACAGGACACTAACACGAAGTAGGTGTTTTAACATGGCTCATGTTAAACAGTGTTTGGCTTCCATTTGATGAAGATAGAGACTTTTCATCACTGTTGTCTCACCAAACAAGGGAAGCCTGTAAGAACATTGTTACAGAATACCTATCACAAGAAAGATCATGTGAAAGCAGGATCTATGCTTCACATATTAATGAAGTGCAGAAATGACCTCCTGCTGCTCTGTAAGGAAAGCATCTATCTCCTTTAAAATTTTCTAGTTCCATA